CCTTGACAAGGCAGCCGCAAACGGGACCTGTGTCGACGAACAACATACCTGCCTCCTCGACTGCAAAACACCTGATGGGAAAGGTGTCATCAGGTGCAGCACCCGAACTCGGAGTTTAGTGTCATCTATCGTAACACAAACGCCAGAGTGCTCAAGTTTGCCGAGGTATTTGCCATAAAAAAGCATTCTCCAAGATCGTGCGTCCAGAAGCAACTGTTCGTTACGCTCAAACTCCCTTAGAGCTAATAATTCCTCCTCAACCTTTAGCCAACGTTTACTTCGCTTTCATGTGACCTCACTCTTTCAAATGATTAATTTCTTATTCCGTACATTTTACCCATGGATATGCAAGAACACAATTTTGCGAAGAATACTCTTTTGGACAATCTCCTCCTGCATTTACAATTATAAAATGGAAAGGCATAACACGAATAGCTGATGAAGCCAATGGAGTAGGAATAGTGGAATCTCGAGACAGAAACTCAAATGTCTTGCTGAGTAAATTTCACTAAAACACATGTAACAGAGCACGTTTTGGTTGATCGGTGGAATGCCAACCTCATCATGCAATCACTTTAGGCGCACGAAGTTTTAAAATTTGTTGAGCTAACTAGGACAAAAATAGAAGAAGCCCTTGCAGCAAAGCCTTCTGTTTACATAATTCCGCTTGAATGATCGTAATCGCGATCGCTTCGGCCGACCGTACGATTTGCTTCCTAAGATATTTAGTGTGCCGTGGCTGTACTACATAAAGTACTTGGAAGGCATCAGCCTACCTAATTCGGTGTCCGCTTTCCACCAGATGTTCCAGGATGAAACTGTTGGAGCGACTGACGATGTCTTTCCGCAAAGCCGCTGGGCAGTTCTTCGCAATGCATTTAGACAGACGCCTGGTTGTGTGTCCCACCTACCTCGCACCACAGGCGCAGGTAAACTTGTGAAAGATTGGGACGGAATCGGAAGTATGTCTTAAATGCGTTGGGCTGTAAAGTGAGCGGTTTCCGAATGGACGTGTGGGTATGTGGCCGGGAACGTTCGAGCCACTGCACTGGAAATTCTTTTGGTTAACACATCAAAGGCAACGTCGCCTTTAAAGGGAACTGATAGAAACTCGTCCATCTTAGGGACAGTAGTATTCATGAACAATGAACAATGGTTTATAACGGGTAAAAGAGCAGGTGCTTGACATGTCCGGTAGGGTGTTTGGCGTGACAAAAAAGATAGAGCAAGGGATAATGGAGTCGTCAGTTTGGACGATTACAGATTTAACTGCATTGCCGTATAAAGGGAGTTTGAAATTAGAACGTACGCACACAAAACAATAAAGAGTGTGGTTATTGATCACATAATAGGCCAGAAGAAATAAAAAGGTGGTAAGGATAACGCTTACTCGTACGTAACTATCTTGGGTTGACAGGATACAGAAATCCAGTTTCTATAGTAGTAGCGTTTATCAAATTTCGTGTAAGGGGTTTGGAGTGACTCATTCTCGAGTAGGGTTATGGCACTATCCACTGTCTGTTGTGCATTAATGCCAGCATTTGGTGGTCATGAGCTATAGCATGTAGTGTAAATGTGACAGAGTATCGTCAAGGCGTATTTTGTAAAGGGATAGGGTGGGTGAATTAATTACATGTTCCGGGTGGGCGTTCCAAGGCTGTGACACTGGAAGGGAGAAATAATTTCGCCGATATTCCAGGCGGCTGTACTGCATGACTAACTTAAATTGGTGACCTCTTAGCGAGGTGCTTTGACTGAGTATTAGAAGGGAATGGCATGAGTGGTTGGGGTTTCTCAGGATCCGGTACACCGTTATGAGATCGCCCCTTAGACGCCGATAACGTCCACTGTATATTTTGAGGGTCTTCAGCCTGAGTGGGTAGCGGAGGCTGGGCAAACCTCTGACTCTTTTCGCTGCCCTACGTTGTGCAGTATCGAGCGCGGTGAGAAGATGCATAAGCCAGAGTTGTCACGCTTGGATAGCGTATTCCGGGTGCGGCCTCACGTACGCACTAAGCATTTTTGGAAAGACTGAATGGTCAAACTTCCCGAAAGCTCTGCGAAGAAGGCCGAGGTACTGGTTCGCCTTCTTTGCTGCCTTTTCAGTCTGCCTCGAACAACCGAGGTCGTCTTGAACTATCACGCCGAGATCGCAAACCTGAGAAGCCCGCTGTAGAATTTGTGGTCCTGGGCGGTAGTTGTGCATACTCTTGTGCCGTGTACTGGGAACCTTGCACTTGGTGACGTTAAAGTGCAGCATGTTCTCAGTGGACCATATGTACGCTTATCCAGGTCCTCCTGTAACACTGTGTGATCCTCCACTGCAGCTATAGTACGCCATACCTCTATGTCATCAGCAAATAGCAAACAGTTAGAAGATAGCACGCTCGCGAGATCACTTATAAAAACCAGGAACAGACGGGGTCCAAGTATCAAGCCTTAAGGTACGCCGCACTGAACTTCGATGGATTCTGATAGGTTGCTTCGAACCCTTACATTCAGTTGACGTTCCACGAGAAAGTCTCCTATCCATCCCAGAACAGGAACGCCGATTCCATATTTCTTGAGTTTGTGGAGGCGAATGCGATGGTCTATACGGTCATTTCACGGCTGTCGCGGATGACTGAGTACTTTTTGATGAATGGTGTCGGGTAACCGTTACCTTGCAGCGACTTGAGAATACAAAGCTTTTTGGCCTCTAGCTTCGCTTGGCTGCAAATTTTCATAACACGAATATACATGCAACGAACAAGATCAGGTTTGCAAGTGAATGGATGGCACGAAATAGTGCCACCTTGCAACATTCGTCTTCTTTGTGGCTGTTGTCTTATGGAATGTTTTCATGATCACTTTGACACTATATATATATATATATATATATATATATATATATATGTACGTATGTATATATTGGGGACCTGCGTTACCTGTTATGCTCTCCCCATCATACGGCCATCATTTAGGCGATTCAAGTCCAGCACTTAAATATTTTCCAGTGAGTTCGGGGTAACTCGCTTTGCATGAGTGTACCACATTTTTGGAAGCTTTTATCTATTACCTAGAGAGATCGGCCCAGTCGTGGTCAACATTGATAGGGGAAATATAAAGGAATAGAAAATGGATAATGGAAAGTGGCGATAGATGATCGGCTTTTGTCGGATGTTGTCCGATTTAAATTGTATAAATTATAACTGCAAGCATATACCCACAGAAATAAACATTTTTCTAATGGTACTTTAGGAAGAATTGTAGGAGATCAAGATTTGGAGGCTGTTGATGCGAAATCAGTTGGTATGGCCCTGAGCAATTTATAGGCATGAAAGATATTTTCGCCAGGGAGGAAGAGAAGACGGTATGCAGTGTAAAGCAGGTTACTGTCGTTCCAACATTTAAGCTGCGTTCGGTAGGAGAAGCAGTTTATTTTGAAAAAGTGAGCGTTCGAAGAGATCGTAAGCATGGAGGATCCTGGTAGGTTTTCAGATAGTGCCCTCAGATGAATCCAGTCAAAAGGGGAGATAATATATATAATGTGTTCGTGGAGTACGAAGAACTTCAGCACATGCCTAAGGGGTGGGGGCTGCAGGAAAAGTAGCAAATGATTAATATTGCAGCAGTCTGCTAAAGACGAACTCTAACACATATTTCCACTTTGGAAAGCATAAACAATTTGGTGTTCAGAATAGTCTTTGCTTTAGAAAGCAGTTTTTATCTACTGATAGACATGGGGGGAGCAGCATGTTCTGACAACAAGATAAAGAAAATGTAACCAGGTATTGAGACTATATCCACTGTACACCTATTTCCTACGAGGATTCATTTGTCATGTTAGTTCGAAGTATACCAATCGCTGTTTGTACTTTTGGTAATGAATGGATAGTGTGACGTAACTTTATCCCTGACTGGATTTCACGTATCTCAGATGGAAGTCTGTTCTATAATGCGGATTCTCGGTTAAGAAAATATTTGTCTGACTGTTTTGTTCATGATCTCTCAAGTTTTACTTTGTTGTTTTTATTATTTCGAGTGCGATAGATTGACAATTCTGCTCTTTGTACTGTTGGGTGTGAGGAGTGTGTTATTTGGGTAATTGTGCCAAAGAAAACAAAAGGTTACTTTTTGTCCTTCGCAGCCACAGTGGATCAAGTTTTAAGGCAATGCAACGATCCATATAAGAAAGGGTGATGTAATAGTCTAGTAGACGCTTAGTAACTGATCGTTGCACACGTTCCCATACCATATTATCACTCACTCTAGAAGTACACTAAATGGTGGGGTCATAATCAAGCAATGAACATGTTTTTATTTACTAATTGATTCTTTCACATTGAATGTTTTGTACAGAAGCCCCATACTCTGACAGGTTTGAGCTGCAGTATGTTCGGCGTGCTCGACAAAGTCAAGGATGTTTGAGTAGTGGATCCCTAGGTCACGGATAGTGTGGCAGTAAGTCCATGGTTTAGCATCAATAGGAAGCGAACCTGGGATGATGTCACATCTGTAAGATACTACGTGACATTTATCACCAGAGAATGTCATTATCCAGTTGAAACTCCATGCGTTGAGCGCACTTAACTCACGCTGGATTTCGCTTAGTATTACACTGACCTCAGTTTGATTAAAAGTTTGAGCAATTTCTATGTTATCGGCAAATAGGAAAGGTTTGTCGGAGGCAAAGACATCAAAAATATCATTTACGTAAAGTAGGAATAAAAAGGGTCCCAGAACACTACCTTGTATCACACCACTGGTGACAGGCTTTGGTGTGCTTGTTTCGTATGGAATCTGAACAACCTGAGTTCTATTCGTGAGGTAACAATCAAATTATAAAAGCAGAGGGTTGTCTGTGCTATGTACCGTTAGTTTGGGTAACAGGTAGTTATGCGGGACACGATCAAATGTCTTGTGCACATCGAGTTCTATCATATGATCTACCATACAACTAAGTGCCGACAGCGTTTTACTTTCTTGAGTCCGTTTTAAATATGCATCCCTTTTGTCAGCTAAACGCAGGAGCCCAGTTGGACGTCCGAGACACCTTCGGCAATACTCCATTACATTATGCGGCCGAAGACGGAGATGTGAGCCTCTTGGGTCTTCTTTTGAACAATGGGGCTAATGTGGATTTTCAGGTAAGCTGAGAAACATAACATAGAATATTTCATTCCCTCAAATAGAGGCTTCAAAATGTTACGTAACAGTACACATCCGACCGTGCATGAAGATTGCTTATCCAAATCCGTCTTCAGCTAGTCTGCTGATTTGGCCAACAATATGTTTCGGTTCCAGACAACTCATTTTTAGTGGTGATCACTGGTCCTGTTGATTGTACAGTTGTGGTAAGACCGAGGCACAATTCCTAAGAACAGTGCGATGCTAATATACGGAACGCTCCGTGGCAACCGGAACGCGTTTACGTTACCAAAGTTGTGATTTCCAGCTATAATACACGGACACATCCCTTGTTGGTCCCATCCGTAAGCATTTGAACAAAATATTACATCTAGTAAACAAATTGCCTATTTCTTCTGCTCTATCGTTTGTTACTATAGTGACTACTAGGGTGCACCTATTTTCAGTCCTCCTTTCTCCTTTGGAAGATTCCACTTTTTGGCGGCCATTAAAAAAACTTTACACTGAGCTTCCCCGAACTAAAATCTTTGACAAATTCTTCAGTAACTTGGAGGTAGGGAGATCGTAAACACTCTCTGATGCACAGTGATGACAAAGAAACTTAGCTTTGCTATTGTAATTTACGCTCAAAAGCTTCATTAGATTCTTCAAAAACTAGACAACAACGCATTGAGATTGGGCACATAGCAATGAGGCTGAATATTATCGTGGTGCGATGGTTTGCGTGTCTCAGTGACGCAATGAGCTTTGCGAACTTGCGCTTCGTATACCTACAGATTCAATCATATCAGTTTGGTCAGGGATTATGAGCCAGGTTAATTCAGTTTCTTGGTTCTGCAAGTTAGCAGTTGCTATGAGAGTTATTCCTTATGCCTTAAAATGGACTGTGCGTAGTCCACTGACAAACTCTCGCTACTTTTGTGTCATGTTTTGTGAACCAGTCTTTGGTTGAGAATATTAATCGCTGTCCTGACTAGGCTTGGACAACTTGGTCCGTGACCTTAAGTACAACAAGCCTGGCATGTAGTCTGGGTCTCTGGTTCCTGCGTGCTTGAGTGCGTGAATAGGGGACCGCGCGACCATCACATAATTCTTAGCCCATGCGCAACTGGTGATGGTTGCGTGCAGCAAAGCACCGGTATCGCGTACCATTATACTGCTAGTACATTATGCCGTCCAAACTAATGAATGGAACCTTTCCACAAACAATAACTTGCGGCTCTGGCCGTCGCAGATCATTGGCTGTGGAGCCCTATGTACTTGAATGGAAAAAACCCATTGATCGATCAGAAGTCTGTGTAAGCGAACATATGTTTTCGGCAATTCTTCATCAGGCTTGTACAATTACATGAAATGCAAATTTTTTGTATACAGACCCAAAGGGTCGTCAGTCAACCAAATTGATCTTAGTGCGCTGTGACACACCTTCGGTTACGTTACAGTTGTAGTCGTGCGTGCGTACAGGTCAACTGCAGTCCGTCCTGGCCAAGGTAGGCTCAACGCGTGAGTGAACCGTTTCTGTGTGCACAGTGCTGGTTCGTACAGCCGAATGGCAATGGCTTCTGCGGCGTCTAATATCCGCTTACGGAAATACCTTGATCGATTTTCTGGGGCCTGATAGATTACTTTGAACGAGTCAGCCGACTTGGTGGCGTGACCCGTATATATATATATATATATATATATATATATATATATATATATATATATATATATATATATATATATATATATATAACCTTCGAAGTTGTGAATTATGAGTTGCATACACATGATGCAGCGGTTATACACATCGAATTTTACGTACTTAAGTAGTTTAACAGAAGGAAAAAATTAAATTTTTGGCGGTAGCATAGGCTTGTTTGTAGAAGAAACAAATGCATTGTACGACCGTTGCAACAGTTCCCAATGGAAATTTGTAACGGTTTTTCTTGAGGCTCGACACCACTTTTTAAGGACAGTTATAGTTATATCCGGCTGAAATGTCTGTGCAGTTCTAAGTTTGATCGGAGATGCCAAGTGTTTATCGAACAGCCTTGTCCGCGGAGAACGTTTTGTTGCTTTCACGAACGAAGCTAACTGCTCACAAAAAGGGGTGGAACCAAACATTGTCATGATCATTGTGGCAAACTATCTGAAGTTTTTTCAAACTTTTCAGGAAGCTACGAAATGAAATCAAGTGCTCCCACTTCAAGTTGCTTTGCTCGGTGTGTCGTATCAGATGGCATTTCTAATAGTTCCATTCGTATGTTTTCTTCTGCCTTGGTAACATCATAGGTGAATGGTGCCGAGAATAATGCAAATTGATGTTAACACGATGAGAAATCACAGGATTTTTCCCATGATTCTTTTGATTGTCACACTTTACAAAGCCAAGCGCAGGTCCAGTATTCGTAGTGTCGTTTGTGCTGTTCGCAGTAAGCAACATGAACCAAATTTCCTTTCAACTTACTATGACTTCCACAACCTAAATTTTGCAACGGCGCACTTGATGTCCTCATCCTAATGTGTGATGCTTTTGCTTTTGCTCCGAAATTTCAAATTAAGATTTGTTATTTGAGCAGTAATGTCCACAGCAAATGCCAGATCATGGAGCCGAATTACATCTAAACGATAGCTGTGTTTTGAACTTTTATCTCCAAAAACGTTACTATTTCTTATCTTAACAAATGCCTCCTCTTCCTCCCTTTGTGACATGACAACCATCGGACCTACTTAAAATGAAACATCGGTAAACTGATTATCCATCTCTTCCAACAGCTGGTTAAGTTGACAGTGGTTGAGAGCAAGTCCTGTGAGGTAGTTCACTGTCTTTGGGACCAAATTGTGCGGTTGATTCAATTTTAAAAGCATTGCACACCAATGTTGCCGAAAAATAATGCAGTGAAAATGTTCAGATGATGAATATGGTTGCAATTTTTCGATCTCTGCATTTAGAGTGGCAGCAAGACCAATATGTCAACCAACCATATTCGCACCACCGTCAGCAGATAAGTATGCAACTTTACTCAAATCTAATTCATAGTCTTGCTGAAGCTGCTTGACTTTCTGATAGATGTCCAAACTTGTTGTGGTGTCTTGAATTGGAGCCATTTCAATGAGTTATTCATAAATATTAAGCTTGCTGTCGCACGCCCCGATGAAAACCGCAAGCTGGGCTATCCCAATGATGTCAATGGTCTTTTCAGTAACAATGGAAAATGTTCAAAGCCGCATAAAGTAAATTTCAGCTACCGTTTCATCCAAATGCAATTTTATCAATTTGTCCAGCAGCAGTGTTCCTGTTTAAAGAAGTAACTTCAGGTGAATGTGTTTTCTCTGAAAATAAATTCAGCAGTTTTTACAAGGTATTGCTTCACGAGCCCTCCTTCACTGTATCTCACTCAGGGCGATCATTCGATTGAGTTCACAGCTTGTAATAACGGAACCCACATCCTTTTTCTAAGTTTTATAAAGCAGGTCTGTTGTTAGCTCAAGTTACGTGTCAATTCCTTGAGTTTTTGAGACACGCATTACGTCTTCATATTTATCATAAAGTCGATGGTTCTTTTCGTTGTTTTTTAAACTTCTACTCTTTCGGCGTGGCATTGCTGTTGTTGCAAAGTACGCAAGGCATCTTTCCATTCATCGCTATAAAAAAACTCCCATTTTCCTTGGAGCAAGCGACCTTCTCGGTTCACTGTCCTTTTTCTCTCAGCTGGGACAGCACCGGCCAGCACAAAGATTATGTGGGATCTGAACAGTGCTCGTTATATTGTAAGGAAATCATTCCACTTGCTTTATCATAAACAGCAACAAAGTTGCATGAGAGAACGAAGGTGATACCGGTTAGCGTGCAGTCAGTGCAGTCACACTCACATAATCGTTGTACACCGAGCATTGCGTGCACAGCCAACAACAGCTGAAATCTCCGAGGGATATGCATGTTCTGGATATGATTACTGATGCAACCAATCAAATCCCAGAAAGAGTGGCTTGATAAGGACATGCTTACGCCGTAGATGCGGAGCGTTAAAAGATATATCTATTTTTAAGTCATTATTTGCATGCATCGCAGCTGAATTCCTGTTTATATAGTGTTTTGGGGATTGACTAAGAGGTGAGTCGCTTTGTCAAAGTGTGAAAGGCATCCCGAATAAGGAACAGTATTACGTTTTCCTGTGGAGGACGCAGTTATCCAGTCGAAGTTATAAAAACTGCAATTTTGACGTTTTACTGAGCAAATTACAACCTCGTTTGTGCGGGCCGTAAGGGTGCTTGTAAAGAGCCGCATTCGGCCCGCTGGCCGCGTGTTCCACACGCGGTGATCTGGACGTGATTTGACGTGCTAGTCGGAAAATTATAACGTTCTTGGATTATCTGCTACCCTGCCTCCTTTTTGCATAATAATCCAGCCTGCATACACTCATTCGACCAGGCTCGACGTGATCCTTCCAACGCGCAACGTATATCGAATCTACGCATTACAGACGACTATCTTCCAGCGATTTGGAAGTTTTGCGTTTTTCCGCGGATGCGAATAGTGTAAATTTCTTCCGGTTTGCATCCTACACTACAAATTGTTACCTTTTTTGGAAGCCCTTCATAAGGACTCTCTAACAACTATACAACTACTTTTATCGGTAGCTGCTTAAGGCAGATACAGGGAGCAAGATAAGAGATCTACCACTAATCTCTCAGTTGTGTCGCAGTCACTGGGGCTGCCATCTGACATTAAACCACCGGCCACACACCAGTAGTGCCCACACCGGGCGGCGCTTTGACCGGATCGATAGCACGTACTTCGTTCCAAGGCCTGTCTGCATTCACGTGCAACCGCATGTGATCAGTCAAGCGAAAAATCAGGAACGTCTGTGCTGACCCGACTACTTGTCATTGGAACGGTGAGACAATAAACAACGCGGTCGGAATTGGTGGAGAGCTTGCGTTCCCAAAGTAACAGTCTGTGTAACTCGGTGGAGATTCAAATAGTTCACAGTAGTGTGTTTTCCGTTCCTAA